CAGATGCCCCTCGGCTTGCTGATGTGTGTGTGTGTGTGTGTGTGTGTGTGTGTGTGTGTACATGTGTGTACCTGATAAACTTGTTGCCAACATCAGCTGTAAAGGCTATGAGTAGAAACTGCACTTCATTACACTTAACTTACAATGCATTGCAATTTAGCAATAGCATAGTGCAGAGTCAGCTACTTCCCCCAGCTACCTGGGGGTGGTGCTTGCTATGCTGCCTGGAATCCCAAGCTAGGACCAGAGGGCATATTGTATATGGATGCAAAATTCCCTGATACACTCTAGTTTTCCAGGTACAGCTTCTAACTTCCCAGGTGCAGCCTCTAGATTCCCAGGTGCAGCCTCTAGCTTCCCAGGTGCAGCCTCTAGCTTCCCAGGTGCAGCCCCTAGTTTCCCAGATGACGCCTCTAGTTTCCCAGGTACAGCCTCTCATTTCCCAGGTATAGCCACTAGTTTTCTACCATCTTAAAATGTTGGGTGAGTACAATTGTTTGCTCTCTCTCCAACCTTTGTATTCTCTGGGTATGTAACAGGCCAGCCCCACTGTGTGACTTCCCGTGTGACTTGAAGTCATTCCCCGTGCCTCAGCCCCCTCCAGACCAGGTGGTCATCTGAAAGCCAGTGGGCTGTGCCTTCCTGGGATGGGATGGTGAGGGCTGTGGAACGTCATGTGTGTAGGGTGGATGGGTCTGCAACCCTATCTAGCCTCTAAAATCAGCTCTACTATTTGAGACAGGTGGAGCTGCACTGGGCAGAGAGTGGGTGGGCAGCAGCAATGCAGCAGGCAGGGCATGGAGGTTGGCAGGATGCCATGGTTGAGGTTTCCTGACATCTATTTTGAAAATGCTCCCAGTGCCCACAACCTCACCCTATCATTCACCAGATGTCATGCCCCGAGATCATTGCCACTCACCTGCTGCCAGCAGGTAACTTCCTATGACTCTGATCTCTGGAGCCAATGTTGACCTCATTTTTAAAATAATGGAGTTAAGAGAATTCAAGTGAGCCGCCCCCGGCCCCCCTTACATGGAAACAGCTGAAGTCGAATCTGGATGAGTCTGATACCCAGGCATGTGTGTGATCTTTTCCTACACTCTGTGTCCTTGGGTGCCTCCCTCAACTGCTGTTCCACAGCACACCCAGCCCTTGTCCTGGGCACAGAACTAGCCCAGCTGACTCTAGGGAGAGGAGACCTTCCTCATGTCCTTGCCCCTTGCCTGCTCACCCTACTGAGAGCTTATTTGCATAGCTATGCATATGCATGCCTATGTCTGAATGCACATAAGGAGTGTACATTTTACTGTGTTGATAGCATTCATAGAGTCAGTTAATTGTGAGAGCTTTGCTAGTGATAATGACAGCACAAAGACAGGGAGAGACAAAAGCAGTTTAAAGGGTCCACATGATGCCACACACCACTCACTTTGTGGCTCTGTATCTTAAGGATTCTGTGGTGCTTAGCTCTTCCGGTCCCCGGGGGGACACAATGAGTATGAGCTGAGAGCAAAGTGGATGTTGGTCAGCTCTGTCTCTGGTGCCCACCGAGGCAGCAGGACCCTCTGTGCTGGAGGTGCTGGCGGGCTGTCTCAGTGAATGTCACCTGATGCTACTGCCCTGATGCACTGCTTCTGTGATTAAATCAGCTCTCAGAGGTCCTGTGTGCCCTTTCCTTTCCAAAGTGACCTGACCTCCCCTTCACTGTCCCCCGTCACAGCTCTCCTTTGAAGAAGTGAAGATGCGGGGGTGGATGTCTTATCCCTGTCCCTGGGGGGAGCCTTCTTCCTCTGATGTCAGAGTCCTTGCCCTGCCTGGAAAGTACGCGGGTGTCCACATGCAAGCGGGCTGGCTCGTGAATCTGCCTGTGATGTCATTAACTTCATGATCTGGCTCTCAGCATCCTGGGGAACCTCACCCGTCCTGCTTTGCCCCCAGAATGTCAGTCCTTCCTCTCTGCAGTGCAGCTCGGCTGTGCTCACATGCTGCCTGGAAATGCTCTCTGTCAAACTGTCCCCTTCCCCGCTTGGATAATGGGAATTCAACTTTTATTTTGAGCAAGAGTTCTCAAGGGGTCACATGGTCCCATAAGGAAAGATCATAATTTCTTACTGGTTTAATAGCGTCTATTTTGTAATTCTGAATGTGCTCTGTTTGATTGGATGTATTAAAGGAACAAAGGGGAATAGGTGTCTTACAATTAAAATAGAATACTAAGATTATTAGTATAACATACTAGAAACACCTTGTTCACCAGCCGTATGCTGGCCTCACACAAGCAGAGGCCGAAGGACCTGCGGCAGAGCCAGTTCTTCCCAGCCCAAGATGGGGCATAGGGGCTCCATGTCCACCCTGGTGTCCGCAGTGTCATCTGCTTCCTCCTCACAGCCCCCCCCCCCGTATAGTAGTTAATGGAGTTCTGGCAGCGACACGGCAGGGTGGCAGGGTGGACAGAGGGGCCTGTAGCAGGTGGCCTGGCCGCAGCTTCCTGCTCAGCATCCTGCAGAGCATGGATGGACTCCTGTGTTCGCTGAGCATCGCTCCCCACTGCTGCCAATGGAGGCACAAGGGGCTGCTCCCAGGGCAGGGCAGGAGGGGCAGGGTGGCACATTCGGATGTCACTGACCCAAGATAGAGCTAGGGCCCCAGGATTCCACCTGGGTAAAACCCCACTTAGACTCTGTGGCCCAGCACCCTCTTGGGCAGTAGCATCCCTTCCTCTGTAGGTGTGGGCTTTTTTTAATTTTATTTTTCATGTATTTAGTACAGAGTCTACAGGGTTTCACTACACGTTTGGACTTGTAATGATCCTTCCTGTTTTTCAGCCTCCCAAGCACTGGGATTACAGGCATGTGCCAACATGCCCAGTCCCAACTGCTACCTCAGCACACCCTGGGGGTGGGAACAGAACATCTGGCCTGCTGCCTAAGCAAGCACTTTTCTCCCTGAGCTATCTGGCCAGCCTCAGGAATGGACTTTGTTGGGTCCTGAGGACACAGAGACCTTCACAGTACACTGTCCACAGCATGTCAGGGTGCAGCTGTGTCCTGGGGCCCTTGCTGTGTGCATTCCTCCTGCCCCAGGCACCGCCTAGCCTGGGGTGTAATCACCTCCAGCTGCTGTTGCTTCATCTACTTTTTGCAGATGTCTACAACAGGAAGTAGATTTTTTAAATGAGAGGTTTCCTAGGGGAGACTCAGGTTGTCACCAGTAAAACAAGTCCTTGCTGATCCCTGATTGTAAAGCAAGCCCTGGATGTGGTTCCATGGGGGCAAGAGCGCTGTCTATATAGATGCCACGATGGCATGAATTGTGCAACGTGAGAACTTGTGCTGGGAGGGGCCCGGGGGCCACAGTGGGAGCTGGTTTAACTAGTTAAGCCTGGAAGAGAAAGAAGAACATTCAGAGGTAGAGAGGCCAGGCTGCAGTCAAGGTAGAGGGCAGGTGGATCGTGGCGACTGGGCTGACGGCCTGGAAGAGAGGCACCCAGGCTGTGCATTCTGAGTGTTGTGTGCCTTATTTGATGCACCCCGCTTCACAGATAAAATACAGGGCCTCACCATCCTGCCCTTAAAGTCATACACTTAGGGAAAGCCAGGCACTGCTGAAGTGCCCTTCCTGGGCACCTAGCTGCCACTGGGCTCTTCTTTGGAAGTTTGACTTTACAATATTCTGGGACAAATTCACCTCACTGGGTGGACAGAACAGCTCATGCTGTTCTGCGGGTCAGATGCCTCACCTCCTCAAGGGAATCCTAGACAGAAGAGAAGGGAAATGTGCAGCCCCAGACCCTGCTCAGGGGACTAGGACACTCAGTGTGCTCTGAGACTGGTAAGAGCTCAGCACAGAGTTGGCAGAGCGGGTTAGGTCAGGTGTGGACGCTGGCTTGGGCAAGCGGCATCACCTACCTGTGTCCTACAGGATGAGGGACTCGGACTCCCTTGGATTTCACACCCATGTCACCCTGCTGATCTGGGGAGGCACCGGCAAGTACTAGGCAGCAGCAGGTGACCTGGGGAACAGCAGCCACCTCAGCCTCCTTACCCCCTGGAGGTTCCAACTCCAGCTGGAGGCCAGGCAAGCACTCCCTTCCTGCACTGCAGCTCTCAGGCACACATCAACCTTCCTGCGTCCATGTTCTGTGGTCTGAGAGCTGTTAGTCTGTGCTTGGCTCTTAGAGTATCTGAATGCTTCATGAAAGCACAGGGAGTCCTTTGCAAGGCAACAGTACTATCCTGTGACTTGGGGAAGTTGGATTCCTGCATACGTGGATCATGGGGCCACCTGCACCAACCCAGGCATCTTACAGACCCCAGTAGTGATTCGGTAACATGCACTGAGTTTCATGTCCACTAGGACACATGCCACCTGAGGCCAGAGCGCGCCAAGTAACTTGACCGAAGTCACAGAGACTTGGACTAGGGAAATGCCTTTTCCCAAAACAACCATGAAAACAAGAACTCAATTCAAGAGCATACTCGAGTATGTGTTGTGAGGAAAGCCCTGCTCAGCCTAGGACAAAACCCTGCATGCTGGGCCCTAGTACAGGGGTGACCTGTGGAGCTCTCTGCCAGACTCACTCCCAGGGTCCAGGTGTGGGTGGTTCATGGAGCCCAGTGCTCTGCATTCTCCTTCCAGTTTCTCTGGGTGAAAGTGAGGGGTCTGAACACTGGCCTGCACCTGGAGGGCTTGGAGAGTGCAGCCACACTTCGGAAGGAGAATCAAGCATGGCCCCCAAAGCATCACTGGCACCAGAAGACCCCTAGCCATGCCCCCTGTGGCCCGTCACCCTTCTTGGTCAGGCTCAGGGCAAGCTATGGTTTGTAAATTATGCATCAGCTGGAGTCTGGGGTCAGTAAATACAGCCCCTGCCAGGAGCACAGTGGTCCTAGAGCCGCTCATCCAAGGAGGGCCAGAAAAAACAGTTTGAAACAGCAGTAGTTGGACATAGTTTAAGCAAACCATCGACAAAAACAGGGCCACCACCCAAGCAGACTTACCCCGTCCAGGTCCTCCTCCTCCACTGGGAAACTTTGTCACCAGGCAACAAGAAACTTGGCACCTGGGGTGAATTAGCATAATCTCCAGGCCTGCCTGCAGAAGGGAAGGGAGGAAGGGCTCAGTGTGTGCTGACTTCCTGCCCAGGGGCAGGCCAGGCCCCAGCAGAGAGACCGGCCTCGTGGGTCCCTGTGACTCCGTAGACTGGCGTCTTCATAGGTTCAGCCAGCGGGCAGTGGGAGAGAATCACCTATCCACGGAGCCTGCCCCTGTTCACAGGGACAAAGCTACTAAAGTCCCTTTTCATATGGACACAGCTCTCCGTAGCATTCAGTCCTGGGAAAAATCACACCACTGTTGTTTAATTTGCCTTGTGTTTTTATTTTGCTTTGGTGGTGGTGTCTGTTCTTCAGTTTGAGTGAGGACTGTCTTTTATGTTTATTTACTTGGATTTAATTTTTTGTAGTTTTGTTTCACTTTGTGCTCTTTTCAGATTAAGTCTGAGTAACCATAATGCTCATAAAGTTGTACAATCCTGTAATTATTTTCTTCCTGATTGATTTTATGCCATGCTGTTTCTAAAGTCTTTGTCTTTAATGAAAGCCCAGGATGGACTCTGGGGACCCTACTTGCTTGGCATTTCTCGGGCAGCCTTTCCCTAATAAGGACCGCAGTGAATGCATTTGTGCATTTAGAGTCTTTTCATTTTTTTCTTTAAGTTTCCAGTAATTGAGAAAACTAGCAAAACACATTAGTACTAGCATTATTAGGCAGCATAGAAAAGTTAGAAATTGCGTAGATTCTTTATTACATATAGAAATAAAAACTAAAAATGTTTTAAGTTTCTCTTATCTAGACATAAATTAAGTAAAAAATTAGACAATAAATAAAGCAAATAATTTTAAATTTAAAATTAATGAAATTTTGGAAAGTATGAAAAAAAATCAAATGAAATGACTCAAATTTAGAAATAAAAATAAAATGAGCCATAAAATAGAAGACATATATTTTGTTACCAGGAAAGGAACTTAGACCATGTGTTTGCCAGGCAGGCGCGGTGCCACTGAGCTATATCCTTGGCCCTAAGATGTTTTTTTAATTTTGAATATATTAATATTTCTGTTATTTGCATCTTACCCCAAGTGAATTAAATACATCACTTAGCTTGCATGGTAAATGGACTTAAATAAATGAGGAAGAAATAACTAGGGCATTAAGAAATACTCAAAACTATTCACCAATATATTTCTAATTGAAATATATAATTTAAATTAGGAAATAACCATAATACAGATAAATAAAAACAAGTTGATATTTTAAAGAAGAAAACATACATGAAGGTATGTATATTTTAAGATGCAGATATGTGGAATCTTACAAAAATTTAAACCCTTGCAATTGAAGCAGCTAGATGGGACTTTCTATTGTATAAACATTGAGATTTTTTAATACATCTGCAGCATCATATCATATCATGGTTATATAATAGCAATTTGATAGATTTGCTGATACTCATTTTTTTAACTGAATGTCCCCAAATATAAGCCTGTCACCACTTTTCAGACAGCTCATTCTTACAGCTATCAGGACTGGGGGTTTTGTTGCTTTCCTCTGCCTCTGTTTTCTCTTCCCCTTTTTGGGGGAAGAGCTTGGTGTTCAGATCCAGGCACTTGGTGGAGTGTGGCCCCAGGGCTGTGAGTGGTGCCAGTTACTGCTCCTGCCCTGTGCCTGGTGCCAGCATGGGCACAGCAATGCATGCCTCCCCTCCCCAGCCTACCCACCACCTCTTCTACACTGCCACATGCCCTGGAAGTGGAGGTGAGAAGCCAGATCCCAGTGAGAGCCTGGATATCTACCCGTGTCATTTCTGGTACTAATAGACCTGTGAGCAAGATTGCTGCGGGGCACAGTAACGCAGGCAGATGGGAAATCCTGAGTTGGAAAGACGGTGTCTGTCTCCTCATGGATTTCTATTGACCTCACACCCAGGTCAGGAAATTGGCACTCAGGCCACCTTGGACCCTTCTCAGGATGGTACATGGGGGAAGGGTGGAGGGCAGTAGAGCCCAGGCTGTCCCTCGTGTCTCTCAGAGGGTGTTTGTCTACGTGGGAGACTCACTGTGTGAGCCCACTGTTGCCCTTTCATGACAAGTTCCCCAAGCCCATGTGCTCCCTAGCAGGTGTTCACTTCCGCTTCTTCAAGGCAGAAGCACTGCTCTGCCTTTCAGTTGGTTTCTCAGACCCCTCTTAGCTCAGGCATCGCATCCTTGACACTTGCTGGCCCATCCCCGCTGTCTGTATAACTGTTTTTGGCAAACATCTGAGTCCCAGAAGTGTTGAAGGGCAGGGTGGTGCCCAGGCAGGCAAGGATCTTGCATGGGCCCTGTCTGGGAACTGACCCACTGCCTCTGAAGGCCCTGTAGGAACAGTGAGTCCTGGGGCATGGCATGCCCCACTGGTCACCTCCAGAGGTATCCTGGCTGCCAGTTAGAGGGCAGGAGCTGGTAGGGAAGGGCTGTGCCCAGGTACAGAGTCAAGGCCCAGAGGATGAGGCTTGTGGTGGTGGGGCTCAGAAGTCCCCTTGTCACATGGCAACAGAGCTCAGTTTCAGAAACACTTCTGGGAATGAAGGGCAGAGATACTGTCACCATGGAAGCATCACAGACAGCAATCCCTAGGGTGGCAGAGGTGCCGAGGCTTGAACTGGGCCCAGCTGCTGACCGCCACAGAGCTCTGATTTCGAGATGGACTTCCGTTTTTGCAAGTCACGCAGCAGAGGTGGACGGTGCTGCTGTGGGACCAGGCCAGGCCACCTTCAAGCTGGGCAGGTGACTGCCCCTCTTCTCACTGTGTTGTCAGATAACTTGTGTTCTTCTAATCTGGACTCTGGTTGCCTGAACGCCCTGCCTCATTCCTTGCACCCCAGTGCTGATTGCTTAGCCCTGGGAGTGCCTCTCACCACTATCACTGGCTCCACAGATCAAGCAGGTGCCCTATGGCTATGTAGTTATCCCAAAGGGGCCCAGAGCTGAGCACATCCCTGTCCTGTCCCTCCCAGGGCAGAAAGGAAGATCCCCGCTTTGGATATCATCTCTACCTACAGAACTCCACTGTCCCTAGCTTGTGCTCCCCTTTGAGACCTGGGTCCTTCCTGCTGTCCTGGAAAGTGTGGTCACTTTGTGGGAGGGAGGAAACAACTCCAACTAGAGAGGGCTGGGCTCGTATCTGAGGCTTAAGTAAGATGCTGTGCTCCTTCGTGAGTTCTATGACTACCTTCAGAATAATGCTGGAAAACCTGTATTAAAAACTAAGACACTCACGTTTGCATAGGTGTCTCAGGAGCACTGTGCCTGGTGTCTCCCTCCAATAGTCCCAGAGAGGGGAGTAGGTCCTCAGAGCTCATAGCCGATGTCAGGAGGAATGGGGTGCAAGTATCTTTTTTGCCACCCATCACATTCCACCCAGCAGCAACATCATAAATGACTACAGCCCAGATTCTAGAACTGTTCCTGAGAGGGAAAGCAGAAGAGACTTCCCGTTTCCTGAGTCCTGATGGACACATTTTGTCTCTCTTTCCATTCTGTCGCATCCTAAAATGGCAGCAAAGGAAGGTGTCAACATGCAGAGTCCACATGCTCATGGCTTTGGAGACTTCAGAATGGCCTTGAACGTCCTTGAAGTCTCACTGTCTCCAGCCTGGGGTTCTCCTGTGTCCACAGCTCTAAGAGCAGCCTGGGCTTAGAAGTAGGGAGGTGGTAGTGCCTGGAGGCAATTTGAGAACCACTTCACCCATGGGCCTTTTCAGTGGTGCAGTGTGTGTGCATCCCCTTCATCCTCATTGTGTTTGCCTGGATATGATGGACCTCCACTGGGAAGGAAGCAGTGGATCCTGAAGTTGTTTTCCTCTCACAGAAGGGAGTTGAATGCAGAGGGATGGGGAACCCACGCGAATGTTGTGCTGGGAAGATGGAGGGCATAGTCCCTGTGGGGACATGGGAAACCAGGCTGGAGGCCAGAGGGTCCTGAGCTTTGAGGCATGCTGGGAGGAGTACTAGGTGGGATCTATGAGTGTCTGAGCAGGACTATGGCAACGTATGGGTCTAGTGAGGAGTGCTTGAGTTTGGTGGAACGTACTGAGCAGGGATCCAGTCTTGAGAGTAGAAGGAGACTCTCCTGGAGACAGAAGAATAGCTGGGCAAGGAGGAGGGATAGCAGTCCTCAATCCTTGATGGACGAAAGAAACATTTTATGTGGAGTAGGTGCCTTTCCCAGAACATGCAAAGTTGTGTTTTGCTACACTTTCAAATTCTTTCATCCACACTGGCCAACAGTGGTGTTTCTTTGGTTCCATTTATATGTCTTGATTACAGAAGTATAAATTGGTATGACATTTAAGCGAATGATTTGGCAATGCACAGCAAAACTGAATACCTCATAAATATCTTCATCACAAGGTCCAGAAATTTATATACAAATGTGGCTTACAGAGACACAGCTGGTGGTGACAGAGCCCTCCCCAGACATGAGCATTTCAGTGACACCCCAAAACGCAGGATGGTGTCCTCTGGCTGCAGAAATGAGCACCATAAAGCTGTACCAGGATGTCTCTCAGAGAGCTGTGGAGTGAGGGAGGCAAGAGGAGGACTGTGCATACTTTCATGACCCATGTATGATTGGTGAGAATAACATACTGTAGGCAGGCATATGGGTGAAACATCTTGGGAATGATCCCCTACAGTCAGTGAACTGTGGGTGCTTCTTGAGTCAGAGTTGTGGTGCAGAGGCTCTTATTTCATGGTCTTCCATGGTATTTGCACTTTTTAAAACAAAAAAACAATAACTTCCTCACATATTCTGTGTCAGGAGAGGAAGTGGAAGGCAAAGGAGGCTGAGGTTTGGCTGGATAGGTTGGGAGAGCGGCCCAAAATTACTGCTTCATGGCCAGGAGCATCACATGGGCTATGCCTAAGGCACAGCACTTTCTAGATCCTTGTGAGAGGGGTGCTGACTGCAAGAGCCAACCCTCCAGCAGGTGAGTGTTGGAGAGCTTGCGTCTCACTGCATTGGACACTGAGATTAGCATTGTGTTTTGGGGAGCCAGGGGACCCTGCCTAACATGCCCCAGAAGCCCCCTCTCTCCTTCTCTGTTCACACTCAGGGATTGTAAGTCACAATCTGCTCTCTGTTCCACAGGCGACCCCTCAGCTCTGACAGGACCATGCTGCAGAGGTGGCAGGTATGGAGGGCTCTCTAGAGAACCCTGTGGGGATGCAGACTGGAAGAGCTCAGGTCTCAGAGCCTGTGAGAGGAAGTATGCAAGTTCACACAGAGGCATCCTATGTCTTCAGGCACTAAATGTCCCACATCTTTCCTTCACAAGGGCTCAGTGATGCCAGGTGACCCTTAAGCAGTAGGGTCAGAGCTGGGGAGTGTGTGTGTGCGCGCGCACCATGAGTGCCTCTGTGGATGCGCACCTCCCCCAGGACTTGCACATGGACATGCAAGGAGGCAGATAGGGTATCAGTTCTATTCTTGGAAAGCTATGCATGGCTGATGCCAGGTCAAGTTTCCCCATGAGGGAGGGACCCCAAAGGAGTCAATCCTGAGATCAGGAGGTGATATGAAGTAATGATGGGTTGCAGATATCCAAGACACCTCCCAAGATCAGGCCCTCCTCTCCTCTCTGCACCTCCCCTCCCCTTCCCTCCCCTCCCCTCCCCTCCCCTTCCCTCTTTTTCTCTCCTCTCCCCTCTCTATACAAGCCTTTATAGAGAGGGCCATCTTGGGCAACTGTGGTGAATTTCTCCCTGATACTTGGCCTCTCCCTTAGTGAGTGTTTATCAGATGGTGGAGAGCTCCTGAGAGTCATCCTAGAACCAGGGGAGGGAGCAAGGTTACTCCTGAGGTCCTGAGGGGACAGACTGGCCTACTGTTGACAAAGCTTCAGTCTTTGTCTACCGTGTCCACTTGTGCACTCAACTGGCCATGAAGGCCCAGCAGTGAGCCCAGCTACCCATGACACCTATACTATTGTTTTCATCCCCTCTGAGTGAGGACCATTGAGCTCTGACTCTCCCTGGCTCCAAGGCCTGCCTGCTGCAGGGATGGCCCTGTGCCTGATGTGGGAAAGACAGGACTCTGTGTGGGCAGCCGTCTCCAGCAGGCTGGTGAGCCAGACCACTGTAGCCTTGGAAGATGTCTGACATGTCTGGTTTGTCACCTCTTCTCACTCCTGGTAGAAAAGGGACATCAGCAATTTTGAATACCTGATGTATTTGAACACGTTGGCCGGGAGGACCCACAATGACTACATGCAATACCCGGTGTTCCCTTGGGTGCTGGCTGACTACACCTCTGAGGTGAGCCTCTTCACAGTGTCCTGGAAGTCCCAGATCCCAGAGCGCCCTCAGTCAGCACACCCAGCCTCTTGCCTGCCCGAATACCATGGCAGCCTTCAGCATTCAGCCCAGCTTCTTCTGTGGAATAAGTACCTGACCAGCACAGGGGCAACCCCTGATAGTCATAGATGAGATGGACTGGAGGCTGTTCTTGGATCAGTGCATGCAGAAGAGAGAGAGGGAGGGAGGGAGGAAGGGAGGGAGAGAGAGAGAGAAGGAGAACAGAGAGAAAGAAAAAAAAGAGGAGAGGGGAGAAAGATATATATATATATATATATATATATATATATATATATATATAGAGAGAGAGAGAGAGAGAGAGAGAGAGAGAGAGAGAGAAAAGGGAGGAGAGAGACTAAAAAGAAATAGGTACAGAAAGAGACAAGACAGAGACTGAGAAAGAAAAGAGAGAAAGAGCAGAGAGACCCTGTCCCCCAAAGTATGACTTACGTGGCTAAGTTGGTGGTCCCTGGCATCTCAAGAACTGAGGCCAGATTGCTTGTCTCTCTTGGCTCTCCCCAGGGAAACCCACAGGCAGAAGGTGCCATAGTGTGTGTGTTTGTTCAGGGTTAGTCAGACCAAGGAGTAGGGTCCTGGCCACATGGTTTCTGTTAGGCAGAGGTTGGCTGAGCCAAACATGAGGGCAGGAGATGGTGGGCCATTGGTGCAGCCCGGCCTGACCCATCCTTCCCAAGGACACATGAGCAGTAGGGCCCAGGGCTTGGGAGAAGAGACAGGTTATTGTGACCTTCCACTCCTGCTTAAAATACAGGAGGCAGCAAAATTTCCCCCCAGTCTTGCACAGCTTTTCATGGCCCCACCAAAGCCAGGCCTTTGCGGCATGAGGCTTGCCAACCCCAGCTTTGCTAGGTGGTGACTATGTTTTGAGTCCTTCCTGCTTAACCTATTGCCTGTGTTTCAAATTTTCATTACTTATCAGAGTTTTGAAATTCAGAGATTTCTCTTAAAAAGCTAAATCTCCAACGTCTTAGAAAATCTGGAGATCTGGCACCTGTGAGCCATTCGAAAAGGCAAAAAGAATGAGCCGAGTGTGAGTCCACAGCATTCTTTTGTCCTACACTGGGCTCTGTCACTTCCCTCTGCCCTGGTCTGGCCTCTGCAGAGTGAGAGGTGGTGACAACTCAGCCCCAGGGGATCCATTGTGACTAGTGCTATGGAGAAGGGAGACTTATAAAGAAGCCATCTTGTCTTGCAAAGAAATATGTAAGACCTGGAAGACTGGGCCCTCCAGTGGTATGAAGGACACCTCCATGAAAAGAAAATGAGTCTGAGGACAGGTGGCTTCAAGCCTTCATGTCTCACTGTGAGCACTGCTGCCAGAAGGGAGACATGGGTCTGTAGAAAGTCACATGTTCCTCTCCCTCTCTCCCAAAACAGATAACTGGCAGCTTCCTATAAAATCAGTTTGATGCTAAGCAGGGAAGCTGAACTCCTGGAGTAAATTACTCCATGTGGGCAGAAGCCAAATGCCTTGCAGGCAACGAGAATTGCTCTGAAAGTCTCTTTTTAGTAAGCAGTGGCCACACTCTGCTTAGGGTCAACTTGGAACAGGTTCAGTGTGAACTCAATCTTCCCCTCCTCTCTTTTCCCATCTCTCCCCTATTAAGTCTTTGTGGATCACTGGCTCCAGGGCCATAAAACCCCACCGGCCAGCTAATCACCAGAGGGGGGTTCAAACCAAATGACAATAAACCAATAAAGGGAACCATAAAACTTAAAGAGCGTGGCTCCTGGGGCACGGAGGGCAGAGGGAGTTAACGCAGCTGCACATCTACCTTTTAGACACTGAACTTGACCAATCCTAAGACTTTCCGGGATCTTTCTAAGCCCATGGGGGCTCAGACCAAGGAGAGGAAGCTGAAATTCATCCAGAGGTTTAAAGAAGTTGAAAAAATTGAAGGTGCGTAGCTCCCAGTATGGTATTTCTTGTGTAGTATTGTTCATCTAGAATGACTGGGAATAGCTTTGGTGGCTCCCTAGCCCGTGCATGATTGGACTTGATGCAGAGCTCCTGAGACACACAAAATAACCACCCAGAAGACCTGTACTGAAGTTTAGAGCTCACCTCTGCACAGCTGATTGAAGTCAGCCTATGATGTGGGACCACCCTGGTGGTTCCAAGGTTCATCCTGGGTGACATGTAGCATGCTTAGAGCTACTGACTTGTAGGGAGGAGCAGGAAGAGGTGATAGAACTGTCTTCAATGTTCACATCCTCCTGCCAGGCACAGAGCTGTTTAGATTTGCATACACAGTGGAGGACACAGGTGCTCAGAGTTTAAACAGCTTGTTCAGATCATAGCTTCAAAGGACCAAGCTGGTGTGGGACTGGCCATAGAACCGGTTCCCAGACTTTGTCCCTCTGCAGATCACCTTTGAGGTATTTGACACGTGCACATGGCGCCTGTACCTTGCTGCCTTCATGTTTCTTCTGCAGCTCTACTTCATTTCTAGCCTTAAGTGAGTGTTCTTCCAGTGAGTGTGTTTGCTCTCAGCATGGCCAGTGACCTCAGCCCTGTCCTTCTCTTGCAGGAGACATGACTGTCCAGTGCCACTACTACACCCACTACTCCTCTGCCATCATCGTAGCCTCCTACCTGGTCCGGATGCCACCCTTCACCCAGGCCTTTTGCTCTCTGCAGGTGAGCTGCCACTGCTCCTTGTGAACACACACATGTGTGTATATATGCATAGGTATGCACACTCACATGCACTCTCCCAGCTTTGTCACAGGCCAGGAGTGATTACTGCTGGTGCTGGCTCCTGGGTTCTGGTCCATCCAGCCCAAGCCGGCTGTTTGTCATCAGGCATACTCTGCTCTTCCTCTGTTCAACAGAATCTTACAAGAAAAAAAAAACCTACTCTAAAAAATCAAGAAATAAGAAAGATGAAAATCTCTTTACATAAATAAATGTAGTAGAGAAGGAAAGCAGGAAGCTTGGAGACCAGAAAGACAAGCAAAGATTAGAAAAATAAACTCGAGAAGGAACAATGAGAATATGACTCAGGACAGCAGAATGCATACATCTGCTAAGTACAGATGAAAGACTCTAAAGAACAAACACAATATCAGAAAACCAAACTGAGCAGCTAACCCAGGGCAAGAACTAACAACTGACATGCCCACCCACAAACTAACAACTCACCCTGCCAGCTTAGAGTTGCTAGGTTTTGCAAATAAAACTGCAAGATAACTAGTTAAATTTGGACTCCAGATGAACAGTGATTTTCAGATAAACATTGTCTTACATACAGAAGCTATCTGTTGTTTGTCTGGGACTTCAGTGTAGCTGGGCCTCCCTTGTTCTGTCTTCCCTGACAATGCTGAGGAAGCTGGAAGTGAGCCAACCTGCAACCAAGTGGGTGGTGTCGTTTAAGACATGGGTTTCTGGGACTCAGAGTCCCTTTAGGCAACACTGTGGGGAACCAAGAAACTTTTTCACTCTTCTGCTACTATATATGGTCCCAGGGACTCTGCATGCAGGGACAGGGACCCCAGAGGCAATCCTATGATGTGCAGAGCCTCAGACACCCCCAGAGCAGCCAGCTGGCTCTGCCTACTGAGTGTGCATGTGCACAGGGCCAGCTGTGCCTGACCCACCCTGGCCTTGGAAGGCCCACAAAGAGGAAGGCCATGGGCAGCAGGTCACAGACACAACTAAGCCTCCTCTCAAAGACCTGTGAGTAGCCCAGGAAGAGAGTTGGGGCTGAGCTCGCCAGCAAGATCACACTTTACAGTCTGGTCCTGAGAGACTTAACAGCCACCCTGGGGCAGCACAAAAGCCAACTCCTGGGTCCTACTCAAGACTAGATAGGCAAGGTCAAGATGTCTTCTCCAGTAAGACACAAATCCCTCCCATAGTCTGCTTCTTGGTGCAGGCTCCTCTCTCTCTCCTTGACTCCCTGACATGACAGCATGGCTCGTCTAGACATTGTATAACCCCCACTCCTTGGAAATTCACTCAAAAATAATAAGTGTGCTTCCCTCGAGCCTTTCTCTAGCAACAAGCATTTTAAGTAAGTTTGGTTTGGAGAATGAATGGTCCCAGAGCTCTTCCTTGTGCCAGGAATCCCATCCAGATGTTGCTCATTAATCTAGAAGAAATGATGATCACTGCTGATGATGATAGTGATGAATTCCATCATTTTCCATCCAGGGAGTTGAAATGTTTAAACATTCAGGGCTCTGGATTTCAGAGTTTCCCCTTGTCCCTTCAGTTGAATGCGTTAAAGCCAGGAGTCCCAGCTCTACCTGTTGCTAAGGGCCTTTGTACATCAGGAGCGGGCAGACAGAAATTCAGACAGGCTGGGCCATGAGACTTATATCCCAGCTTGGCCACTTAATAGATGTGAAATCTCAAGTTACTTTACCTCTGGAAATGAATGTTAATTATGCACATTTCACTGGGCTATTAAGAAAATGTGGGGAAAGCCCCTAGTTTGGGTGATCAATCACTGTGACTTCTCTGTCCCTCTACAATCATCCAGAGCTCTGCTCTGAGCAGGCCTGAGCTTGTTCAAGCCAGTTCTCTTTGGCTGAAGCTAATTCCAGACAGTCGGGACTGCCATTCCAACACAGCATGAGCCAGACTAAACACGTGTGCTATGGGCCCACAAGCATGTATGGATAAAGGCCACTTTAAAGCTGACCACTAGTTTGCACTTATGGGGCACAGTTTGGTTCACAGTACCAGGCCAATCTCACTTGAGCTGGTCTGACACAGTGAGAAGTGGTGAGCCAACTGAAGATGCTTTCAGCTGAGCTGAGCCCGCTAGGCCCTATGTGGTCTCTGATGTGACTCCTGACATCTTTGGGCTCCTTTGGAAGAGTGATCCACACAGGTTGGAGCCATCTGGACCCTCCATGTGGGCCCCACAAGCCATGTCTTCTTTCTGCCTCTGAGTGACTTCTCACAGCCAGCAGTGGTCCAAGCTCTGGAATCAGCAGAAAAACCAGCCACTTCCTATTTCTTCAACAAAGCATGAGCTTTACATCTTCTCAAAGGAATGGGTACAGGGGTGGAGGCATATGCCCAGCTCCCCTTGGGATCCCTGGGCCTCAGCAGCCCCACTCAGGAATGTTCTACAATCTTCTGGAAGTCAGGCTCTGCTCTCTATCCCTCATGTCCCCTGTGGTCAGCCCTGTTTCTTTTACCCCTATGGTGACAAGAAAGGGGTCTTCCACAGTCTCCGCAGCAGAAGCCTGACTTCCAGCCTGGTTTGGAGAATGAATGTATCTGTTTAGAGCCCGCACATAGTTCTTTAGTTCCTCTAGGGATGACTGAGGATGTGGAAACCTTGGATCTGGAGGACTGACTGTGTATACTCTTGATCTTAACAGGTGGCCCGTGCCACCAGCATAACTGACAGGACAAGGATATGTGTCAGCTATGGGCTCTGTCATCCCTGCTCTTCAAAGTGTGAGCAGATGTCTGTTAGGCTGGGGCAGATCCCGGGTCCCCCTCATGAGTCTTGCCTCCTGGAGCCCAAGTCTTGAGCCTCTGGAAGGTTGTATTACCAGGTAGCAATATTCTGCTGGTCCTGCTCTAGCACTTGCACCTACTGGAGCAGAAGTATGGGCGTTCTCACATCAGAGCCAGCTGAGGTGGGGCTGGAAGGCAGCCGGTGCCTACTGAGGACACAGCAGCGATGATGGATACTGCTGCTGCATTTAATAAGAAGCAGAAATAAAGCAGTGGGCTAATTAAGTTGCATCTCTATGAAATCAGCTATTACCAGCAGTGGGGATAGGCCTTCCCCACCACCTGAGGTGAATCGGTGGGCTGGTGTCAGACAGATGCTAACTGTGGAAAGAGCCAGGCTTGGCAGTGTTTGGCCACCTTGGCTATTCGCCAGGAAGCTCCTGGTGAGTGAGGGGAGGAGTTGGGTGACTCAGTCAATGACCACCCTTGGCACCTGACCACACCGCTCATGCTTGGGCCATGCCTCCTGACCCTTGGTGTAGGCCTGGACCACTCGGCTGCAGCCAGGTGTGTCAGCCAGACAGGAGGCTGTAGTTAGGCCCCGACACAGCAGCAAGACGTTGGTCTGCCAAGACACTAACTGTGACTCAGGACACCCTTTAAGGTCCCTAACATAGTTAATTATGAGAGTACAGACTCGGCTGGGGCTTCAGAAAAGACACATTTGATGCAGTCCAGCCATCTTGGGATAAACTCCCACTTCTAGAACTTTCTAATGGAGTAGTACTGGCTAACTCAGCTTCAGTTTCGTTTTACAGAGGGTTGAGGTGCTTGGCCATACCAATTCCCCATGCAAAGCTGTTGTCCTCATTTCCTTAGGAAAAGCCTCCTCCTGCAGGGAGGACAGCTGGTGGCCTCCATCAGAACAGATTCAGTCAGGTGCCTAAAGCATTCCCAAATATGAGTGGGGCCACAGCTCTTAGTTTTGAAGTAGGAGTCAGGTCCTAGCATTTTCTACAGCAACTCCTAAAACAGTGTACTACCTCTCTCCTTCCCTTATATGTCACCCTTCCTTCCTTGACAACAGCTTTACCTCAAAGTGCACTTCCAGTTTCCCATGCCCACCCTAAGGCCTCTAAGCTCCTTGCCTTGCTGCCTCTGTCCCTGCCACTGCGAGATCCCCTTCCTTTTCTCTCCCTTCACCTTGTCTCCTCCTTTTCTCTCTGAGAGCTCCTGGATGCCTTTCTCACACACATGGAATTTGGGGCCCCAACTTACCTACCCAGGGAAAGGACACAGGGCTGCAGCATCTGGCAGTACTCTCTATGTGCCTCAGCGCTATGTGAGGTATATCAAACATACATGTGCAACACTCAAACACATGTGCAGCACTATACATATATGTGTATGTATGCACATGTATATACTTGGACATGTATAACCACATGTGCATGTGTGGATGCTTACACACATGCACACGTTTACACATGTGTACCCACAGGCACAATCATGTACATACATCTTCATGACCTTGTACTCACCAATACATGCTACACTGCATTAGTCGCTTTCCCATCCCTGAGACACAATATCCAGCACCCATGGATTAATGCAAGAGAGGTTTATTTTGGTTCACAGTTTCAGAATTTTCAGTCCCTGCTGGGCCAGCTCCAAGGTGGAAATGGCATTGTGGAGAGCTCAGCAGAGGAAAGCTGCTCGCCTCATGGTGAAGAGGAAGCAGGGAGTAGGGGGAGCCAGAGAGGGAGATGTGTATTTCCTGGTCACATCCTTAGGGAGCCAGCCCTAACGCACTCAGCTGCTAGATCTACCAGTGAGTGTAGCATCCCCTGATTCAACTGCCTTCCAAACACAGGAGGATTGGGGTCATTTTGGATCTAAAGCCTAACACACCTACATGAATATCCATACATACACACTGCACATACACAGACATGCTTGCATACACAGACACAGATGTAGTTGATGTCACATCCGCAAGAATAATCCATGGTTTCAGAGGAGAGAATGGGTGGTTAGAGATGAAGAAACCCTTGTTCAGCTGCATAGAAGTAAGTGGGCCCTCCAGTCCCTGTCCATGCCTGCCTGGTTCCTGTGCCAAGCTGCTTCTGCTAGGGCACACTGCCTCTTGGGTGGACTGATGGTGGCTTAGGTCAGCTGGCATCATTAGTGCAGGCAAGTGTTGTCAGCCTGCTCTTAAAGCCAACCCAATCATCAAGACATGAGTGGGTTGCTTTAGGCTAGTCCTAGGTGGAAGGAAGGTCAGACTTTCATTATGTGTTGTGAAATTCCTGTGGGCTCAGGTGTCCTGGAGCACATCCAGTTTCTGAGTTTCCTATGAGGGTGGCTTGGGAACTGGATGCTTTTCCCTAACATACTTCCCCTGCTGTGGCAGAGAGGAGTTTGAGAACATAGTGACTGAAGCATTTATCCAGGGACCATGATGCACATAGACTCTGTTCCTGAGTGTCAGGGGCATCTTCTGGTTTTTCTCTACAGTTCTGTGCACTGGGAAGTATGGAAAAATGCATCAGATTGCATTGCTTTTGAATCCCAAACTGCATTTCTGGTCGCTTTTCTTGGAAGTGACTTCTAAGGTAGGCTAAAAGCCAGACCTTCGAGTGGCGTGCTGCAGAGCTCTCTAGCTGTGGCCTGGCTCCAGGATCTTCTGGCTGGAGTGTTGTGTGGGAAATCTTATGCCAACACAAAGTCAATCCTGTGTTGACAATCATGACCTTGCTATTATTTTTAACAGTATATTTGAATACCCTAGAACTCATTGTGCTTTATGTTCAATACCTGCAGAGTAGAAGCAGGAACAGACCTTGGCTCCAGAATTGTCTCCCATCACTTTATTCCCTTCCAACCTCCACACTTAATTCTGCTGTGTGCCTGATTCTTCTGGCTTTGGTCTTTCCTTATGTAGTGCTCTGTAAGCCTGAATCATGCATCTGTCTCTGTCTCCCCTCCTTACTATTTCTTCCTTCTATCTTCTCTACTTTTCCTCCCTCCCTCCCATCCTTCCTTCTTTCTTTTCTTTCCTGAAAACCAAGTCTTATTTAGCACTCAATCCAGCAGCCACCAGAGTTTATGTCAGCGACAGACTTACAATAGGAACAAAGCAACTCCATTTCTTCTTCTAGGGAATTTGGTGTTTTCTTTTGTATTGCAAAAGTGAGAAAACCCATTAATTTTGAAACAAATGTATGCAAATACATTTATTAATATAGGAAATAGGAAAATCAGTTATTGCTTCCTTTATAAATAATACAGGCTTAAGTTTTAAAGATATTACTTTTGCTAAAATGCATTAGACAGCTGTGAAAAAATAACATTTTTCTTTGTGGTAATATCTTTAACCAGATTTGTAGCACTAACAATATTTCCTATGTATATATTATTTTTATTTAATACAGGTAATCTTTTTATTACCAAATCATATTGTTTCTCAGGAGATTACCATCAGTGCTCATAAAAGCTGCAAAGGGAAAAACGGGACGCGGCAAAGGCATCAATCTCCCACGATGTAAAGCTCAGGCTGCAGATTAAATACACAGAGCTCTTAATACATTTCAATGAGTGACTCATTAGGTGCAGATTTATTTAGATCTCTCTCATTTTATTTCCATTTCAATTTAAATTTGATGGTGGACCTCATCTCCTAATTTCAACAAAGAGCAAAGTGACCTCGGGGAACAGCCACAGCTCTATGCTGTCCGTGTACTGTGTTGATTGAGACTCCACACGTGACTGAATAGCTGGGTGTCCCTGTCCCTCTGTGGAGAATGGGCTGCAGGTCCCACTGGGTCAGCGGCTCTAGTGAAGAAGATTGAATGACCAGGCCATGCTTCCTCAGGATGTCTGGTGCCACCTGTCCACTTTTCAGAAAAACTCAAGAACCCCTTAGCTCATAAATGGTAGATTATTTCTCCCCAGTCTAGGGATTTATCTAGGAAACTGGCACAAGGCAAAACATGTCCCTTGGAGGCATCCTAGGCCTGAGCCCGGGTCCCTGCACTGCATTTAGCACTGATCAAATGAAGCTCCAGGCCTCTGAGATGGAAGGGAGAGGAGGGGCAGAGGGCTCTGCCTCTTTCTTGTGGCCTCATATCTGTGCTCTGTAGAATGGACCAGCTCCTTGCTTGTCTCTGAGCCTGAGTGGATCCAAGGCTGAGTTTCAGAAACCCTTTCTTCAAATCTGCATGCTCCAGCATCTTTGTCTGTGCCCCTAGGACCTGGCCTAAGGCCCCTGTCTACATTCTCCTGACCCCCAAGACCACTGCTGAGTAGGGGTGGTCAGTTTGACAACTTAAGAGATGGTGTGACAGTTCAGGTGAGAGGGCCAGGTATTCAGGGGAAGACTGCCCTCAGTGTCACCAGATCCCACTTCCCAGGCTCAAGTGGCATCAGATCACCTGCAGCTGGAACCCTTAGGCCTAGGTGGCTGTGGGATGTGCCATGAGGTCAGGTCCTTCCTGTGCCAACCTCCTGCCCTGAGTGTTGGTATCTTCCAGCTCCTTCCTTGTGCCAAAGCCTAGGCTACTCAGCTCTTAGGACACTGACAGCTCCTTTCAGCAGGCTTCCAGGCTCATCTGTGTTGGGGTTCTCTAGGGAACCCCACCGACCCCTACAGAGCACAGTTGACCACATCTCTGTGCTGTAGTTGGCTCCTTACATCCTGCCTGTGTCCCTTGACTATGAGCCTCTCCAGAGCTGAAGCTAAGTTGTCATTGCTCTTGATGCCTTGTGTTCAGCATTTGAGTCAAAGAGTTACTGGTGACCTTGAGGATGGCCAGCAGAATGACTGTGGTTATCTTTAACCTGAACTTGGGTTTCCATTGTGGGGACACAGGATACCCTGAGTCCCTCACAGAGGGTCCAGGACTTGGAGAGTGTGCAGGTCGGTGCCACATGTGTGGGCAGGTAAGTGTCCATCACTGCTACCTGTGCCACTGAGGCAGGGTGGAGGAAGGATGCTCCTGCATGTGAGGTGTGGCAGTTGAGGACTTGAGATTGTGTGGCTGATCCTGTGGCCCATTTCACACAGGGAGGAAGCTTCGATGTGGCCGACCGGATGTTCCACAGTGTGAAAAGTGCATGGGAGTCAGCCTCCAAGGAGAACATGAGTGACGTCCGTGAGCTGACCCCCGAGTTCTTCTACTTGCCTGAGTTCCTCACCAACTGCAATGCTATGGAGTTTGGTGAGTGGGGCCCAGTACGATGTCTTTGTGGGCAACTCAACCAAGAGCCCCTCACCAGGCCTGGCACTCAGGGTGTGAGGCTCACACTGGGGGCAGCAACCATATGCCTGGCAGCTGCCAAGCAAGCATGTAATCCCCAGCTGTGACCTTGGAAGGCCTTGCTAGTAACCTAGGTCTGTCCTGCTGCCTGTGATCTTGGCCAGCCCCCTGTCCATTCCTGCTGTGTTCTACAAGTAGGCAGACACCTTTGTCCTGCAGCCCAGGATGAAGCAGACCATTTCCTGTTCTGGATGATGGGCATCTTAGTATCTGCTCTACCTGGGCGGATGCCCTTGGGATCCTATGTGCAGGCAATTGACCAAGGGCAGGGTGCAGGTGAGCTCCCTACCTGGTGCAGGACAGCTGTGAGCAATGCCCAGCCATGACTCACCAGCTGTGCACGTGGAACTGTCACCAAGCATCCCTCAGGCCCACAGCACTTGGGCCTGGGAGTCCCCTTCTTCCTCTACACAGCGCAGGCAGGGTGACCAGGAACACAGGAGAAATCAGCCTCCTAGAACCTCTTGCCAGGATGTGCCCTCGGATTCCTGTGGGGCATTTTAAGCCACCTTCACCTGATCCATGCCCAATAAGCTGGTCCTTGGAATCAAAGACTTGGGATTGTTCAGATCACCAGGGGCCTCCAGTCATGCACAGAGGGAGAAGTTAAGTGAATCCACGGGATGGTTTGAGCCATGTAGTGAGGCTGAGAACTGGATAAATCAGGGTGGTGAAACCAGGAGGAGAGGCTAGGGGCCTGGGCTGGACACTGTTCTGGCCACCTCTGTCCTGTTGGTAAGTGGTTCTCTGAAAAAGTGTGGTAGGCATTGTTGCAGAGTGGACAACACAGTCCAGGGATGGAGAACACAAGGACAGGGAGGGCACATGTCCTCGAGTGTCTGGGAGAGCGTGAGGCCCAGAGCACCCGTGGATTGGATGGGTCCAGGGCCAACCTACAGTGGGGATGGTCATGTTCTGGACGGCAAGCAGGAAGGGGTAGGAATACAGACAAGGAAGAAAAGCGTGTGGGGTGCTGGGAATCCTCCAAGCAGCACAGACAGGAAGTGGCTGAGAGCAACTGTGAGGGACCTGGGTTGTTCTGGCCCATAGGAAGGACAGATGAGGGGACAGCCATGCTGATGCTGAGGGACCAGAAGGGCCAGGACAGGAGATCAGGGGGATTTTATACTGGTTGTATCTTCAGCAGTACCATAGCCTGTGTCCCCACAGTATCTGCCACAGGCCTGGTGTTCATGTGGATCTTCTCCTGTCATCTTCAGGCCACCCCTGCATGGCACCCCTCACTGTCACCTTTGGTCTTGTAGTGGTAGAACTGAATCCCAAGGAAGTTACCCACTCACTCAAGGTCGTGAGCTGATGGGGAGGAGAGTGGCCAGCTGGAAGCCAGCCCCTTCCTCCTGCTGTCAAAGGCATCTCCATTAGAAATCCCTGCTACCCTCCTTTAACATAAGGAGAACACGCACAGTGATAGCGTGAAGCCTGTGTGAGATGCACTCCCCAGTGTCCCCAGTCAGGCATGTGGTTGGCTGCTGGATGCCGTGGCCATTTACTGCCGGCCAGTGCAGCACCTGGAGAAAAGGCCTGGACCTCTTGCAGCAGGGGTGTGGAGTATGAATCACAGGGACACAGGGCTCCTCCACTCTCTGTGACTTGGGTCTCCAGCACTGGGGTTGCCTGGGAACTGAGGGGACCTCGTGGAGGAGTCAAAGACTTCCAAGTCCCTAGAACTAAAGGGACCAAGCAGAAAGGTGTTACAGAGTGTTCCAACAGAGGAGGCAGAAGCACGGTGCACTCCTGAGGGGAGCAGCTTGGTCCCATCCAAAGCCCAGGTGGCTCCTGGTAACCTGGTGCTCTTGTTCTTCTGCACCCCCAGGTTGCATGCAGGATGGGACAGTGCTGGGAGATGTTCAGCTCCCTCCCTGGGCAGACGGGGACCCAAGGAAGTTCATCAGCCTGCACAGACAGGTAAGTCCCTCCGCATCTGTGTCTCCCATCAGGCTCTGTGGTGGCTTTCTGCTCCTGGGGGAGAATTAAGCTCTGAAGTTTTTAGGTCAGCTGGGGTTCTCGGCTGTGGGAGAGGCCCACCCCACTCTGTGTCTGTGGTAGGGCTGTGGGCATCAGTGCAGGAAGTGAGTTCTGATCCTCTTGGATGCCTGGGAGGGCACATCTGCATCCTGGGTGAGCCCCCAAAGCAAGGCCAGCCCTGGGTCACACCTCAGCAGCAAAGCTCGGAGGAAGAAGGGAACAGAGGATCTCTTGAGCCTGGAGCAGTTGTGGCCTGTGATGCCGAAAGGCCAGCAGGCTGGAGGCCGGAGGGTACTGAGGACACTTGACGGAATAACAGAAGTGCACACCACCTCTGGAGACAGGGAGAGGTGGAGAGGTGCTTGGCGTCCTTGGCTGTCATGGAAACAGGACCTATCACCTCAGTGAGCTGCTACAGCATGTTCACAGAAGTGTGGAATCTGCTGGCCAGAACCAGAAGGTACAGCCTCCCTGGAAAGACTCCATTGTCCCCAGAGCTATAGGTGGAAGCCGAAGGTAGATGAAGATGTGACCAAGGATAGAAGAGAGCTGATGGTTGCCAAGTAGAGGAACAAGGGGTACAGAAGCGCTGGTCAGGTGGAGGTGGAGTCTGCAGAAGTCGACAGCCAGGAAGGGAGGAAGTGGCTTTCACCAACCAGAGCATTTAATGAGTGCTTTTAAAGATGGAGGAGTATCTATGGATGCTGCCACAAGAGAAGACTGTCCACAGGAGAGGGTGACATTGGTAGGCATGAAGAAGCATCCTCACAGAAAGGAAGCCTCAGGGACTGAGTGTTCAAGGATGGAGTCACTGAAGACCAAGGCAGAACTGGAGGAGGGAGGTGTGCCAGGTGACCTTCTTCACTGAGTGAGCAGAAGAGCAGAAGCAGTCGTGGAGGCAGGCATCTGGGGAGGTGCAGCTGGCTCTCAAAAAGCACAGGGAGCAGGCATTTTGTTCTTTCCACAAGAGGCCACAGGAGTGGTTGGAGATGGAGCCACAACTCCCAGCTGTGCCCAGCAAGTGGCTACCATGGTCTTGCCCCAGGGCATGGGAGCTAGGCTTCACTGGGACAGGAGGAGAGATGCTCCAGACCAGCCTGAGGATATGGAGTTGGTTATGAAGAAATGGGAGAAGCAACTGGTAAGGGTCAGATGTCTAGGCTAGTGACTTTCCTTCCCTTGGGAATGTGGCACTGGTGACCATGTAGAATGACTACTTTGGCCACAGACCTTGGAAGTGCTACCCTGGTACATGTAGCCAGGCTTCTCTGGGCCCAGTCATGGAGCTGTGTGTCCTCCCTCAGGGCCACCAGGGAGAGCAGGTAATGCCCAGTGGATGCCTTTGGTCCTGGGGGTGCAGCTCTGGAAGGCTATACCAGCCCAAACAGGCACCATCTCTTGGTGATGTCCAAACCTTAGGCTATGCTTCCTCTTGCTCCTTAGTGGCAGTCAGTAAGAAACATGTGCAGCTTGGGTACCCTAATCCAGACTAGCACCAACCATCGAGACTATTCCCAGGAGAGATCCAGTGCGCTTACTAGCTCCTATTGATATAGGGACGTGAAATTCCCAACTGGCCTGAATGAGTTCGTGTTCTCTAAAACCGAAGAATGAATTTTAGGAACAAACGGAGGCTGAAGGTAAAACTTTATTGGAAAGGAAAGCTTCTGTTGGAGAGGGACAGAAGGAGGGTCTGAGCAGGTTGCCCAGGAAGTTGTCTCTTTCAGGTTATTTTTATAGGACAAAACCATGCGGGGCTAAGGTAGAGACAAAGGGGTCTCGCTTAGGCAGATACAGGGTGGGACAAAACTATGGTCAACCAATGGGATTATAAGCACCATTGCTCAGGTAAAATTTATTAGGCCTAGGACCAAGTGGGGTAGCGAGTCATGTAGCAAGCGGGCGACCTTATCTGGTGGCCTTCAGTCAATGATTCTTCCCAACTAATGAGCAATCCTGGATGTCAACTTTAGGGAGGTCAGCATTTGTTTGCTCTTTGGGTCTGGCTCATACCAGGAGCATCTCCCCAGTAAGGTGTCTGGTCTTTGTCATCCCCTTGGAGGGCCTGTCCCTGTCTAACTACCTACAATATTTCTATCTAACTCAGGCTGCCTGCAACACTATGCTACATTTCTTCTGTTTCCTATTGGATATCACCTTTAGCTAAGGGGCTACTGGCTTTCCAGGGGGTGCTGTGATTTTGATCTTGTTGAGGGAGGTTTAGTTCCAGCCAAGCAGCCTGGTGGCTGAGACAGCAATATCTCTCATTTGGGACAGCAAGCCTGCACAGGTTCTGTGTTCCTTGGGTATGGCTATGAGTTGCTTTGTCCCAGCTGTGTCCCTGGCTGAATGGAGGTACTCCACAAAGGAAGCTACAACCCAAGACTGAGTGTACCTCAGAGGCAGATTTGGGTGCTTCCCCTGCCAAGGGTGAGTCAGCAAGACCGCCTCTGCTAGGTCCATGTTTTCTGGTGACCTGTATGAATGAGACTCGGGCAGGATGGATGTCTTTGGGTGCTTGAAAGTTCCAACATGAAAGTTGGAAGCCAGGGGTTGGGGGGGGCCATTATTTCTGCCAGCAAGAGCAGGTGATGATGGGAAGGGACAAGGACATAAGCCCAGGCCATCGTTCTCACCAAGCAGGGGCTTGGTGCCATCATCAGCTACATGGATCTCAGCTTTGTCCTCCCACTGGCCTCGGAAGAGAGCCCAATCCCAGGTGAAGAGCCGAAGGCTGGAAGGGTTAAAAAGCATGCAAATGGGGACCTCAGCTCTTCCTGAGTATGCTGTGTGACATCTGCAACTTGGTCTCGGCCTCCTGATATTCACTGGCTGAGCTCAGGCTGCCCACTGCTGCCTTAGAGCTCACAGGACCTAGGTCCCTTCCATGTCAGCATCACTCCTGGACCTGCCTGCATAGACCTTCTGAGTGGCATGGCTGTTGCATGAGGTGGATAAGCTGGGGTGCTGGGAGCAGTTAGACATAGCTGCCCACTGGGTAGATCCAGGACTCAGGTGGCAGTCGGTGGTTGCCTGTCTTCCAGCTTCCCACTCACCAAACCCAGAGGCCATCAGTCACCACTTCTGCCAATGTGACACAGGCGTGCCTCCCAATCCATGCAGAGCATGTCCCGTGCCCTCAGTGACCTGAGCTTTCACACTTTTTGGGCTTTCATTCCAGGCTCTGGAGAGTGATTTTGTCAGCGCCAACCTCCACCACTGGATAGACCTCATTTTTGGGTACAAGCAGCAGGGGTCGGCGGCGGTGGAGTCAGTGAACACCTTCCACCCCTACTTCTATGGTGACAGGGTGGATCTCAGCAGCATCAGTGACCCCTTGATCAAGAACACCATCCTGGGGTTTGTCAGCAACTTTGGCCAGGTGCCCAGACAGGTAAGGCAGGCCGAGTCCTTGTCATACTTGTCAGGAGAGCATGTGCAGCATGAGTTTGTGGAGAGAGGAGTGCAAGGACATACTGTCCTTGGGAGGGGAGGGATGGAGGGACAGAATAGTCTCAGCCGTCTTCCTGGGCCTTCAGTGTCAGGTCTGCTGGGATGATGCAGAGGATGACGTAGCACTGAAGGCTGCGTTCTCCTTCTGTGTCGTATGTGAGAGACACTGTGCTAAATCTACATGACTGAGCCATGTCTGTATCTAGATATCTGTCCTTCAGGGAATCATTCTCAGTGAGTTAAAACACACCAGTGCTTGAAAGTGGGCAAAATATGACTCGCTCACCAATAAATATTGGATGTTGGGGCGATTGCATCTTTAGCACATCCCATATGCTCCGGGCACAGTTTCTTCTATGGACAGGACCCTGATGCCCAGAAAGGCTACATAGAGGGAACCAGCATGGACCCCTGACAGCGAGGAAGCAGAGCTCTGGCCAGTGGGCCACTGGGAAGGTGGTTCTGAAGATGTGCCACATTGCCATTGGCCTGGGAATGGCTTCCTCCAGATGAGATCTCAGCTGGACCATGGGTCCTGCTGGCTATGGTTCCTCTGGGCACAGTCACTCAGTAGGTTGTACATGGCTCATGTTGCCATACTTGTGAGACTTGTGCAAGGGAGCTAGGTGCTTATTTAACCTCCCAAGCCCAGCGGTTGCCCCAGCAGTAGCTCTCTGTGTCTCCTCCATATCCTTTCTGTCTGGCCGTGCACAACCTAGGGATGTGCTCAGTCCCTGGTGGGAAACACAGGAGAAGAGCTGAGGGAGACTTGGAGGTGAGGGGCTGCATCTGGGGTGGATTTGCAAAAAGCCTTGCAGACAGCCCAGTATCTTGAGGAACAGCATGGAGCCTAATAGCTTTGATTTTTTGAACTTAAATATACATAATAATATGAATAAAGCAATAGAACAAACCAAAGTACTAGCCCACCACCCAGCAGGCCTAGTTTCACCTGAGTGCAGCACCCTCCACAGCACAAGTCTTTTCCTGTCACTGTGGTCAGGGAGTGCACATGATTTTAGATTCTGGTATTACTGTATGGCACAGGTCAGTATTCCTTATCCAAAATGTCCAGAATCCAAAGTATTTCCAATTTCAAGCAATTTAAAAAAAAAATTTTGGAATATTTACATGGACTTTACTGGTTCAGCCTCCCTAATCTTCAAGCCTGAGCTTAAAAATGCTCCCCAAATCTTTCTCTGAATGATGTCACTGCTCAGGAACCTGAGGTTTCCGAGGATTTCAGATTATGGGTTTTTGGATTAAGAGTGTTCGGGCTGTATGCATGCCTAGCCTAACACATATAGGCTGAGCACCATTTCCATGTAGTCGTCAGAATGAGAAGACAGCATCAGAGTGCTTCCAGGCCACACACTGTCCCACCCCAGAACAGTGACACTTAAACTGTCAAGGGGGCCTGAGACCCACGTGTGGACCCATGAGTTTTGTGAGGAAGGAGGCGCTCCCCAATGTTTGCTGCCATTTCTGTCTCAGTCAGCACAGCAGGGTTCTACCGTGCAGCATTTGTTCCAGGTCTCTAACTGAGGCAAGGTCACTCTGAGAACTTGAGCTTGACTCCTGGGCCTGCCCACGTCCCAGCAGGGTCCAGCTCCCAGCCTGGCTCCTTCTACAAGATCCACAGCAACTGTTACCATGTGGGAGAACAGGAGCCAGCGGGGAGGGCAGCCTGAACTGGAACTGGGTGTGCACACCGCAGGCCAGCAGGAGAGATGGGGCAGGTGGTGTAGCCTCACATCTCACATTTGCATGGCTATGCAGAGAATTTGGCCTTGAAGGCAGTGTGATGGGAGAGGTCTAGGAAAAAAGAGAACAAGGTCACTGCCAGGATCCACCCCCTCAGGAACATTTGAATGGATACAGTGGAAGAGCATTGTGCTGACACATGGGTGGTTGAGCCTTTGGGCAGCTGGTAAGGAGGGAAGAAAACTAGGAGAACTTGCTCAGGCACATGCAGGATGACCAGGATGTAGGCAGGGCAGGGGCCACTCTGTCCTCAGAATACAAAAGGCAGCCTCCAGGGACCAGGGTTGCTCTCTGGCCAGGTGGTAGGAGAGAAGGGGATGGGCAGGGGTAGCTGTCCTGAGCCCAAGGCCCATCAGCAGCAGCATCTGAGGGGCAGGGAGGGCTCCTGCTTGGCTCCAGCACTATGCAGGGAAGCCCAGGGGCAGTGCCTGGGGTGGGGTACCCAATGCCCATGTGCTGTGTGTGCCCTCCAGCTCTTCACCAAGCCCCACCCAGCCAGGAGTGCCATGGGGAAGCCTCCTCCAGGGAGGGACACGACCACACCTGTCAGCCTGCCCAGCCACCCGCAGCCCTTCCTGCACAACCTGCAGTCACTGAAGCCCGTTCAGGTCACTGTCAAAGGTGAGTGTCTGACCCTGTGCAGCTCCTTCTGGGTTCTAGGGCACAGACCTAGGTAGGTGCTGAGGTCCAGCTTCAAATGAATACAGCTGCAAACACAGTGAACAACCGGGAGGCTTCTACTTAGGGGCAGGCTGGGGCTTCTTAGTCAGACATCTGTGAGTCTGCCTGCCTCAGACACACACACCCCTGTCCACTGTGTGCACACACACACACACACACACACTCCTGCAGTTTGGTGCAGTGGTGTATGCCATTGAGGTCAGTACTCTAGAAGGCTGAGTAGGAGGATTGCAAATTCAAGTGCACTCTGGGCAATTTATGGACTTATCAAGACCCTGTCTCAAAATAAAAGGTTGGAAAGACTGAGGATAGTCAGTGTGACAGTACTAGGTTCAATCTCCAAGACTGAAAAAAATCATATATTACCCTACTCTCCTCTCTTTCTTCCTCTCTTTCTGTGTTTCCCTCTCCCCCATCTCTTCCTCTCTGTCTCTGTCTGTCCATCCGTCTGTCTGTCTGTCTGTCTGTCTCTCTCTCTCTCTCTCTCTCTCTCTCTCTC